AACTATACCCGCTGGAGTATGGAGACAAAGTGTTCTAACAGTCCGGGACTATGAAGTTTGCCAGGGTTTTCTCCAGCTGATCATCACAGGCTCCCAGAAGAAGTATAGGGATAATCTTGCAGAAGGCCTGGAAAAATTTCTCTTGGTACCTGAGCATGTGCAATATCTGGCATGCTTACACAGAAGAGCAAGTGATATAGTGAACGTGCTCGTTTGTGATAGACATCTTTCTGCTGCACAGACACTGTTTGAACTTGCTGATCAGTCTTTCTTCCCCCTAGGGTCTGGGCAGTTGCTGACATCCTAAAAAGAAACAAAGAAAACCTGCGAAGCAAGTAGGTTTGGAGTTGAAAGGATGCCACAGTGCAGACTCATGCCAAAGCTTTGAGGCAATAAGCCAAGGCTGCAAAGTTGCTAAAGCTAGTAGGTGCTGACATGCCAGATTGCAAAAATGCCTGAGGCAAAAGCGCTGAAAAAATCTGCCAAGACCACAGGTACCAAAGACAAAGACCCAAAAGCTGAAACAGTGTCTTGTGACAGGCATCCCATTTGTGTGTGTTGGGAACGAGTGATCAAAGCACTCATATGGTCACCAAAACAAAATTTAAATGTTATTATAAAAGGATCAGTCATACCTGCAAGAGCAGGATTGTGACCCTAAATGCATCAGCAGGGTGGTAATTGAAGCAATTGTTGAAGAGGTATCCTGTCTGTGGGCAGTTCTTTGTTGATGGAGTAAAAAAGGATTGATTGGAAGGTGGTTGAAAAGGAGGCTGAGTGTGGTTTGTGACCTTCTTTGTGATTTTGAGAGCAATGGGGTTCAAAATTCTGTATCAGCTGGTTCCTGGAAATATTAAGAGCTTAGATATATTTCAAGATGTCCCTGACAGTGGTGCTGAGAGTACCAGAAGAATCTTTAGGAACATGCAATTATATATGTTTTTCCTTTCACAACTGAGCAGCTTTTTCTTAAAACACTTCTGTAAAATACAGACATAGATTATTTAACGCAGAGAAGAAGCAGCACAGTTTGCACTTTACTGCCTCTGTGTGCACAATTTGGTGAGAATTACATGGTTTTTTTCCACTTTAAAAAGCAGAGTTCAACCCTTACTTCTGCTGGAGGTGGTCTAGCATGACCTGTATGCCACTTCCAGGTGGAAGAGAAGAGCACCTACCTGACACCTTGGGAGGCCAATGCCAGACTTCTTTCATCTTCAGCTGGATGGGAACGTGGCAGGAGAGGGGGGGAAAAGGAAGGAGATAAAGCTGGAGGACTGGAAAGCAGTATCCTACCACTTATGCCATTACCCAGACAGGAAAATCAGTGTGATTCTTTCACCTATCGTGTATTTGCCCCCCTCCCTCCGGGTATACCATTAGAGTGTGGTGTAGTATTTCTACCCTGGCCTCTAAACAACTGGTTTTAGGACACTTGCTTTCATGCAGGCTCATACCATGTTTAGTTATCTTTAGGTATGTGTTGAATCTGAACCTTTTCAATGCTGGTTTACTTTGCCATACACTAGGCTAGCATTTGGTTTTGCCCGCTGTTCTGTAGCTAATATGCAAATATAAAATCAAACTAGACGTATGTTGTTTCGGCTGAGATCATTGCGTAGATGTACTCCACTTGTCGTCAGGACATCAGAACAACCTTCAGTGATACACACAGGGCTCTTCTCAATCTAACTGATGATCTAACTCTTGCTATCACAAGTATTGTTATTGATTTTACTATGCTATTGAATATTGAAAATTAGTTCCTGGAGTGGTCTTGTTCACTTGTTCCTTGGCTAAGATATATTTATTTCCTATCATCAAATAGTTTATATTGCATCAAGGTTCAAAAGGGTTTTCCGTCCTCTGAAAAAGTAGAATGTAGCAGCACTAATGAAAGGGCAATGAAAAAAGCTACGTCATGGCTTTCGAACTTTCGGAATTCCACTGGGGTCACTGGGTTGAATTAGAGACCCTTTAATCATGAGTACAGTTTTATGAATGGTATACTTTACTCTGATATTTTACTAGACGTCACTACTTAACACACTTCTGGCTCCATGGAAGGAAAAACAAAAGGCTTTGTGTGCCTGGAGGTCCCTGTAGTTTTGAGGATCGTTATAATTCTACTGAGTCAAATCCTGAGGTCCCTCTTTAGTTGTTATACCATGCTAAATCTGCCTGAAATCAACTGGAATTTGTATGAGCAAAAATACGCTAAGAATCTCAAGCTTTGGCCCTTTAAGAGTAGCTTAAACTTTCTCCCAGGTGGAGGAAGAAATAGCTGCAGTTGTGATTCCTGCTCAGTGTAATGTAACCGGCTTGTGTATGTCTTACTCCTGTGCCCGAGCATTGCAATCATGAATCCCACTGTACGCAGAGTCAGTTACTGACATTTGGGATTCTTTTGTCAGGTTCGCTCTCCTGTGAAAACCTTGGGTTTCACAAGTATGCCACTGACTGTTATTAAAAAGTGCTTGCTTTAAACTCTAACAAATATTGCATACGTGAAAGCAGTAGTGGACAACAGTGACTGTGTTACAAATGCAAGTCCCTTCGTCTCCGTAACTGGGAGACAAGTGGACCTCTGTAATCTGCTGTGAAAGCGAGGACTTCTTCCCCCTGTCACTTGCTCAGACCTGCT